TGTAATGTTTTTTTTGTAGTAGGACAAGATTTATAGACTTTGATGGGCAAAATTGGTGGAGTTGCCCTTTATCATCCTCCTTAATGGCTTTTCATGCTGCAAGCAACTAAAAAAATTTAATTGCGTTGCGTAACTTCCAAATTAATTGTCAAGCCATTTAAATTTCAACACAAACACTTACAAACACTGGAGAACTTATGTTAGACTGTTTATTCTTTCAGAGAGAGAGCAGGTCGTTGCAGCCAGGCCCCCAAGGGGTGTCAAGAGCATCCCAGGGGTTTGTTCAGGGGCCCCCCACGGTTGTGTTCTTAGCCTACCGCTGTACGCGCTCTACACCCAAGACTGCACAGCCGAGCACAGCTCCAACTCCATTGTGAAGTTTGTGGAAGAAACAGTGGTAGTGGGGGTGGGGGATGGGGTGTCAGGGAATGATAACAGCTTCTACCTGGATGAAGGAGACCACCTGGTGCTTTGCCAACCACCTACGTCTGAACATCAGCAAGACCAAAGACATGGTTGTGGATTTCAGGAGGGCTCAACAGAGGAACTACAACCCCCCCCCCAGTGTAAACAAGACTCCTGTTGAGAGGGTGAGCAGCTTCAAGTAACTTTGAGTCGACATCACAGAGGACTTGACATGGACCACACACATGAACACAGCAACGGGTAAAGCCCAGCAAAGACTTTACCACCTCAGGCAGTTCAGAAAGTTCAAACTCCCCTCGCCCCCTCACATCCCGAAGACGTTTTACTCTGGAGCCATTGAGACTGCCTGGTATGGGAGCTGCTCTGTCCAGGAGCAGAAATCACTGCAGAGGGTTTTGCGCTTAGCTGAGCACACCATTGGAACTACACTCCCCGCCCTTCAAGACATCTACACCAGGCGGTGTCTGGTCAGGGCTCTCAGGGTCTCCAGGGACTCCAGTCACCCCAGTAATAAACTGTTAAAGCTGCTGAAGTCAGGCAGACAACTCTGCAGCATGAAAGCTCGCACTGAAACACTCGCACGCAATCAGACTGTTAAACAGACAACGCTGCTAGGGTTCAGTGTTCTCTTGCTCTCTCTTTACCCATAACAATACTCTGAGGAATATCACTCTGTCAGAAAGTCTTGGTTATTTATTTATTTCTATTTAATTTATTGCTTACACACATTTAGATACAGTATTTGAGTTATTCATTTGCACGTTTCTGGTTGCACATTTTGTTCCAGTTGCATATTTCTATTTTATTTGTTTGCACAGCTGGAGACTATCAGGGAAAAACATCTTACTGCACCGGTACTGTGTTGCATGCGACAAATAAAGGTCTTGAGTCTTGAATCAGTCAGGGGTCCGTGTGAGACTAAATTAAGTAAACAGATTTATAATGGGACAATATTTATTCAATTATTCTTGTTTATATATATTGACCGCTGCATTACTCCTCTTCTAGACCTTATTTGCTTGTCTTGCCAAGTCAATAAAAAGCTAATAATATTTATGATGATGGAATATAAAGGAGTAAAGGGATTTTTGAAGTGTGAGATTTGTTTACAGTGAACTTCTCAGTTTTACTTACGCATGTTAAAGAGCAGAAATTCAGTGTGCAAATCTCATAGCAGTGCAACAAGTAAAATTACATTCCCCTTATGTTAGCATTTCTGTGTGCATGAATTATCACGGCTATATACGGGGTATGGGGAAGAGTTGAGGGCAGGCAGCTGAAGCTAACATGGTTAGCATTAGTCACCCCCCTCTGAGGCACATGATCAAAGAAATGTTCCAGCTGCTAAGTGGATGAAACACAGAATGATGACTCAGGTTGAATCTTCAAAAGATGTGCAGGCTTTGACAGCGAGAATGAGGGTAGGCGGTGGGCATGATCTTCAGGGGGAGGCAGCTTGTTGACATATCTAATGCCAGGTCCCAGACCATTTATAACGTTCATAAAGAAATGGATATGATGTGGCAACTCCTTACAATTGCTGGTGCAGTGGTTTTGAGAATAATGCTATGACCGTGACTCTTAGATCACGGCAGACCTCATTTAATGGAAAACCAGATTACAAAATATTTTGTATGGATGATGAACCTTTGCTGACTGAACGCTTCTCAACACTTACTGTAAAGAGACTGACACATTTGGCTGATTGCGGCTGAGCTGGACAACCGTTGTAATTATTTTACATTTTCTGACTTCTGACTTTAAACAGAATTTTTAAGATACATATTCTAAAGCCCCTAAAAACTTGGTATTAGTATTTCTGTATGACATTAATATTAAAAATAAGACATAATCGAAGTTTGAAGGCATATTTAGTTGTCATTTATTAAGATTAATCTATTTCCTCAAGAGTGTGTGGGTGTAGTTTGATTAAATTTGATTCACAGTGACCTAATAAACCCACAATCTCCCATCACCTTCTCATTCAAATTTCGATTGTTGCACTGAAGTGTGTGACACCATGATTTTCCAATAGAAGCCCGCCCACCTCAAATCAGTGAGAACAGAGAGTGCTGAGAAAAACACAAATATATATCCTGTTATGTGAGGTAACAAAAACTCTGGTTTTGGCAGAAAACACTGTGTTCATGTAAGATCACACTGATCAGAGTAAATAGAAGACTGGGAAAATAGGTTTTCAGGACTAGAGGTGGTGCACAGCAAAAAAAGCTATTGTTTGTTATGATGGTCTTGTTATAACAATACTTATTTACCTAATGCTTTCAAATGTCATGTTGTCCTTACATGTACCTGGGCAAACTTTTTAAAAAACACAAACCTACTGTAGCTGTAGTTAACCAGTGTTTTTTAAAAGCCAGATTGTTAAGGCTCATCATCCTCTGGTCCCACGCATAAAAAAAAGCTGGATATTTGTGTTATCTTTGAAATCAGATTGCACTTGTTTTTTTCAATAAATTCCCAGCACATTTTTCAAAATAATAATAATAATGAACTTAATTTACTCTCAGTCTTTGAGTTGAACTGAGGCGAAACCTTGAAAACATAACATGCTATGCTAATCTTTACTCCCCCGGTCAACCGCTTGACCCAGAGTGGCTAAGTAAAACAGAGACGGAGAGCGAAGGGGAGAGTAAAAGAAAACGGAACGTGTGTGTCGTGTCGGTGCGTCCCTGCGGAGCTATCATTAATTAAGCGTGAGATTGGTTCTCTCCACTTCCCACCCCTGTCTTTCCTTCTGTTGATCCTGAGATGTCGAGGGATTCGCCACTTCTCACCTCCGAAAAAGAGGCTAGTGTTGGTGAAGTAGACCAAAAATAGATGTGCGAAAAGATACCAAAACACACACACTTTTTAGTCTACACGTGCACACACACACACACCCTACTCCTTAAACACTGTGTCAGATGCCTATAGCTCTCTTTCAGCACTGCAATACATCACGAGTGATAGCTCAACTCCCTCTACTCCCCTACCCTGAGGGGTGGAGAAATCTGCCAGACTGGTACAGGTCCTCTCTTTACCTCTCACACCACGGTATTTGACAGCCAACTGGGGAACTGTAAAATTAAAGGCCTTGGCAAATGAAATTCTGTGACACTGCAGTGTGAATAAAGGCAGACACTGCGAGGGGGGCCTGTGGAAGAAGAATGAACAAGGCACCATCTCAGAAGCAACACAAAAGTGAAGTGAAAAGTTAGTCTTCTAAAATCAAAATTTTTATTGCTAAGTTACCAAAGCGCGTCACCTTGCATGCATCTAACAGCCGCATCCCGGGTATTGACAAAAGGGGTATCACTTCATCATTTCACCTTGAAAAGGAGAGTGCTTCATATAAAAGCATTTCATCGTACGCAGAACTTTATTGACTTCCTTTGATATTAATAGCCTGTGACACTAAATGCCATTTTCCCAGAGATGCCATGTTTTTTTTTTCCTTTTATCTGATACGGCGACGGCGGTGTAATGTATCTCAACACAGTCATTATCATCATCACAGATCACTGATGCCACATATGCCTGCGTTACTTTTGCTAAGGACCTTCAAACCCCATGCATGACGGCTTGACACCAGGTCTCTTTGTGTCAGTTCTGTCCAAATCACAGGGTACTTAGTGGCTCTGACTCTGGCCTCCCCACACCTGCACTGATAGAGACATACAAGTGTCAACGCTGACATAAAAGGCCATCATCACTGCACACCAGGCAAACTGCTGTCGAGGTGAAGTGGCTGATAACAGTGGTCCCTGCTTGTCGTCCACCAACCAACCTCTTCCCCCCAACCCTGTCTCACCCGTGAGGGAGAGTTATTGCTTTAATATGAACAACGAATGGTTCAATTTGTCCTCTGGGTGTCAAAGAACTGCTCCGTGTGATTACTTTCTTGGCACGGCAGTAACATTCATTGGCTCGGACTCAGGACGTATTGGAAAAGGGCCTTTGTTAGGCTGGACCGGGTGAGTGACAGATAGAGACAGACAGAGACAGAAAGAGAGGGAAATGTAGAGAAAGAGAGCAGTGGTGATACCGGATTTGCACACCTCAATGAACAGCAGCACTTCAATCCTCGATAGAATGAGAAATACAGTATTCTGACCTTGAGTGATTTAGCAGGGAAAAAAGCAGCACGGCTACAATCCACCCACGCTCAGCCACAAAAACACACATAATACTGGAGGAGTGGAAAGAGGTTTTTCTTTTTTTTTCTTGTTTTGACATTTCACTTTGTCACATTCTAAATCTGATTATCAACAAAACAAAACATTTAGCCCACAGATAGCTGTGTTCCACACAACTCAGAGAGCTGATGTCTTAAGTATACAAATCTCCCGCCAGAAAAAATCCAACTGAACGCCACACTACACCACACTCTGAGAAGTACACAGTGTATTTAACATGGATGCTAAAGTTAGCTTAGCTTAGTCAGCACATAATTCCCTGTAAAATAGCAAAATGTCATTTTTACACTTTGGTTTGTGAGTTAGCTTTGGCCAGAGCTAAGCTAGCTGTTTTCTCCTGTGTCCAGTCTTTGTGCGAAGCTAAGCTAACCCAACCACCTGCTGTCTTTAGTTACATACTGACAGATATGAGGGCAATATTTAATCTAACTCTCTGCGAGAAAAACAAAGAAGCGTGTTGCACTGCAGTTCTTGAACATCTCAAGAGCATCCATGTTTCTTCCCTGTTTTGTTGTGTCTTTCAAGCACACAGAGGAGAGCGGTTTAAACATTTCAACTGTAACTTCTGACTTTGAATTGGATTAAACGCCAACTCAGTTGTAATTCTGCATGTTAAAGAGATATACACACAAACGCGAGCTCTCTCACGCAAGACATTTTCACCCCTGAACTCTCTTCCACTCACACACATGCACTTCCTCTGTATCTCCCCACGTCTCCCATCAACTGCTGCTCTACCTGAATAGTGGGTGGTGAGCGCTGTTTCCTGGTGGTGGTGGTGGACAGGGTGGTGGTGGTCTCAATAAAGGTGGTAGACATCTCCGGCGGTACCGAGGTGGTGGTGCGTGCCGCGCCCCGACTGGCTGGCACGTCGCCCACCAGTCGCACGCTGCCGTTCACCTTGATGTTGGCGTGGCCCTCGGCGGCCATGTTGAGGACTTTGAGGCCGTTGTAGTAGAGGCCGGAGAGCTGGCCCTGATAGGGCCGCTTCCGGTCGTTTCCGCCAATGGAGATAGTGGCCTGAGTGTTGAAGATTGTCAGCTGCCGGCCTGGTACAGGAGGGAGGATGGAGTATTAATATGTGTATGAGGCAGGATGAAGGAAGACAGATAACGCTGTCACAAAAAGCACTACGTCTTGCCATGCACCACCTTTAAGAGGGACTACACTTTGACTGCAAAATAGATACGGTGATAAAAGATTAAACATATATGTTAACACTTTATATATCGCTTTACTGCTTGATTATATGAGAGTGAATGAAATTAAAACTAATGGAGATGTAACATGCATTTACACTAAGAAAAAAGTAGGTATTGGTTCACAACAACCTCACCTTTCTGTTCTTTTTTAAAAGACTGCAGCTAGATGTCTACAGTAGTAAGGCTTTTTCTTTTGATATACAATCTTTTGATATACAAGAAAAAGCACCACTGAAATAGATGACTAATGCTGAAAACAACAGACGCTATGCAGCTATAGCAGCATTATTATAAAGTAGTGAATACATGCAGGTGTGGAAACTATATATTGGAACATGGTCCAAGGAAACTCTTAATATTCTCTGGACAAAACAGTGGACTCATGCGGTAAAATGATTAATAAATATGTATATAGGCTTTGGCACATTATGATAGAGTATGAGCAATACACACTCACTACATGTCATGGAGAATTTCATTAGGAGAAGCCTAAATATCATTGTCAAAACACGGTGCTCATGCATTAATTATGAAACGAAAATACACAACTTTCACAATGCAGGAATCATAATTAAAAATCTCATTGTATAATTTACAGACACATAGCACAGCAAGCTTGTTACATTTGCGGCCCTTGCACAATTATAATACATAATACATTAGGCATGGAATGACAGGGACAGGACATTCATATCACAGAAGCGAAAAATGAAATAGCACGTGTGGAGTCATGCATGCAGCAGTAATGGGATTCTCCAGACCTGTCTGTGTTTTAGCAGTTGTTAAAGGGACTTTATAATCAGGTTAAGATGTTTATGTGCAATGAACTTTAAATTCAGTTTATAATGATATTATTATATGTTGAAGAAGAAAATTTAAAAAACGCACCAAAGAAAAGAAGGGGGAGCAGACTTTTTCAATCCCCGCAAAATGTGTTAAACATAGACGAGGTGCTTACTTGATAATCTCAGCTACTGAAAAGCACAGCTCTATCAGAGCGCAGTGCACCTTGGCAGGCTCACTGTGCCGCTTTGCGTCAAAAGGGCTCCAATTAGCTCTCCATCACCAAACAAGTGAGTATTTTATAGTGTGTGATGTGTATAACCACAATCAGATAAATTACAACAGGGAAGGGTACCTGCCGTTTGGAAAGTTTTCAGGGGGATATGCCCACTGATTAGTTTGTTCTCAAACATTGCAGAGGATTTGAGCCAAGGGAGCTAATTCTCCTCTCAAAACAATCGGCCCACTGTTGCAGCATAGATAATGGCTTCTCCAACTCAATTCTGCACAAGAGATTAGGAGCACTTGATACTTTAAATCTTGTTGCTGCACCGTTCATAAAATCTCTTCCCAGTCCCTTTAACTGGACACGATGAGTCAACAGAATTTAAAAAGATGACAATGACAAAAAAGGGTAAATAAATCAAAAATAAAAACAAAGGAGAGGAAAAGTACAAAAAGTACAGTTTACTGTTTTACTTGTTTTTTAAATGGTTTAAGGGATGGTTATTCATTCTCAGAGGTCGAAGGGGAACAAGCCGATGAAATGACAGAAAATCAAAAGAAAAACATTCTAGAAGTTCGATAAAGATTTACCTTTCTCCTGAAGCCAATCTTCTACTGGCCGGGTATATTTGAACGGGATTTTCTTATTTGCCATTTGATAGCGCTCAATGTCGCTGTTGCCTTTAAAGTTTGAGAGTTTAACAAACAGCTTGAAACAGTTGGCAACAGCAACAGACATCACACATTTATACAGTGGTTTATAATGAGTTTTATCTTTGTTTAGAAATATTTATAGAATCTTTATGATGATTTTTTTCTTTCTCAAGAAGCTTTACTTTAGTTTAAATTTTTATAAAGTCATATTTATAAAAAGCACACTCCACACCAAGAAAATATCTATGGATTAAAAGCACAGCACATATCCATAGCAGTCAAGGAAACAATAACCTGCTACAATAGGTAAAACACAGGAAATACATCACAGCCTACATAACAAGTCCTACAATACATTCAACATATTTCATTGACAAAATGAGGGTTATCAAGTGGTTAAAAAGACATGTATTAACTGCCTTTCTCTGAAGCAAATTTGAAGTAATTTATGTGCACTAATTCTTCCCACTGGACACCACCCGCTTTTACATTTCAAGGGCCAATGAATGATTTGGTTTAGTAGCTCATTTAGAGTAAAGGAGCTGTGCAGCAGGTTAGCAGGGAAAAGGGGGGGGGGAGCAACGTTCAAGGAGGAAGTGGTAATTTGAGGTACTGTGGACCCATTGGGAGGGAAGTCCCATAGTGACACAGATTTGTGGAGGACAATGCATACAAATTACATCATTACTGACGTGGTGGGAGGCCTTTTGGGTAAAAAAAAAAAAGAAAAAAAAAGGCGCTATGCCCCAGCTGCCACATTCCCCTCTTCTGAGACCATAACGTGCTCCAGGTATATGAGAATAGAAGATAATGGACTGGCTTTAACAGAGAATGTTGTGTGTATATCATATCTTGCATGATAGGATTTCTCGTTGTGTATGCGCCAAGATGCAATATTTTGTCTGACAATCACAGGAGCATTCCCTCTGAGAGCCACCGCGAGTCTGTCGACGCTGACAACTTGAGACGTACAGCTCTGTTTTCAAACACTTTGAGGTATGACAAAAGACTGTGAAGGCTGTATAGAATTATGAATGACACCATGATGTCATTCAGTGCCAGTGTGGGAAGGTATTTGGAGGAAAAAGAAGGTACCGGTGCGGCATCGTTTACAACATGACTGAAAGGGCAAGGCTTCATAATTGTGAGGAAAGGCCTCCTGGAAATGTGTCCGGTTTGGCTGCTGGAATTCTCTCAGGCGACTGGACTGTTTACAACATCATTCACACATGCATGCACACACGCACGCACGCATGCACAGAACGCACACACACACTTGTTTTACTATATTTTGGGCAGCCATCATTCATAATGCATTCCCTAGCCGATTACCCTAACACACTGAAACCTGATTCCAACCCTTAAACCAAGGCTTTAGCCATTTAACTTGTGGGCTCGAGCATTTTGGTCCACACAAAGCTGTTGGATCCTACAAGTATAGTGGGCTCCTGGTTTTTGGACACCACAGATACAGTTAAACAAGCCTTCACACATGCACACACATGCTCATGGGGATCCACCTGGCTGAGCTTTGACATCATGCTTATCCCTGTACCAAGAAGGTCTTCTGCATCTTATTCAACCTGTCCGACCTGCTGATTGAAATTGTGGAGCGAATAGACCACAATTTTATTGAATTATTAAATTTCATTAAGCCACTTATGCTCCAAAGTAGTTATAAGTCATACGCTTGTCTCAATTTCCCCTGCTTCTCTCTGTTCTGTCTTTCGATAGTCCCTTTCTACCTTTTTGCATTCAGGGAGAAAAACAGCCAAGTGCTCTGTTTTTAGCCAGCGGGGAGGGAGTGTGGATATGGCTGCAAGGGAGCTCAAGGAGCTAAAGGACTGTGTGTGCAGCGTGCCAGCAGGTTAATCAGCAACTAGCAGGACTCCCTCCCCATTCCTTTGATCTCCAGCAGGTTTCGGGTGGCAACCAAATACACTCTGCTCTGGACACGGGCCACAGAGGGAGGCATGGCGGTTGTATGTGAAACCAAGGGGAAAGGCAGAAAGGTGAGGAGTTTGAGGGTGTGGGTTGAGGACTGGGGCAGGAATAAAAGGGGAAGGGGGAGAAGAAGCATCCACAAAATGTTACTGCAATCTCTCCAACTTGTGTCTTTTGGTAAATGGCCCAACTGCAGTCTCAGATTGTTATTTAGCTGGAGTGAAATCACATCTGAAACGGGGGTGGGCGGGGGGTTTAAGCTTGCTGTGCATTGCTAATGGCGTGGTCTCAGGTACAGCTCTTACATTGTTCTGGGTGATTAATGAGGTGACAGTCCCCCTGTAATGAATACACCACAAGCTAATTGTCCAACTAATGAGAAAAATTTCTCTAGTTTGTCAATTTGATATTCAATTTCTAAAGGTGACTTCAGAACGGATGACCTTGCCAATAAAAGCACTATTGTTTATTATAAAATCACACTGCCTTCAAGGTTTTTGGGTTTTTTTCCAAAGCAGAGTGGACACATATTTCCTCACAGATTTTTCATAAACCTTTCAATTTATTGGAGGAAAGAGGAAAGTACAATGTAGTGCCATTATGGGTTTGATGTTTTGTCACCATCACATAGACAATGTTACTGGAACCAAAATCCATATTTCAGTTTTTGGGTCACAGACACACTTAAACCCAGATTTCTATGTACACAAGGGTAATTTTGGTGTTTTGTATGTAAATGTATGTTTATTTCTGTTTTCCTTTTTTATAAAGGTCTGGCTTTGAATATTAATCACAGACAACCTAATTTCTCTTTTCTTAATACATTGCCAAAAGAAAATATAAATGAAACCCATATGACTTCCATAAAATAGCATTTTTACTCCCTTTAAATAATGTAATTCCTTTGTTGCAATATATTGAGGCAGGACATTAGACAGTGAGGGGTCAATCTGAATGCGAGCCCATGTAGCATATGTAAGCAACAACACAATTTTCTTTGTAAAAATAAAACCTTAACCTCATAAGCAATAAAACAAACCCTCGCTCATTTCAATACACTCAGGGTTTTGGCAGTTACAGCCTGACTCGGTCTGGTATGACCAATAGCTAATGTTAGCAATGTGGTTTGTGGCCAACTACTATGTGTTATACTGTGGCATTATATATTGGTGAAGGTGTACTGTACCATCTTGTGCAAATATATTAAGTTGTATATATACATTTTATCAGAAATGTAATTTTATTCTATTTTTAGATTTTAGATAGTCTTGCTAACACCTGGCCAGGGAAAACAGATTGAGGACATTTGCTGTGTTTAAGAATCTCATGTTATTATGCCATCCAGTATCTTGTGACTTCCACAGTTGCTCCTGTTAAAGTTACATAGTTTTAAGTGTAAACAGTTAATTTGATAGTACTGGCAGAAAGACAAGTCTCTTAAAAATCTAAGAGGATTTCTGGTTGGTATTTTTAGTTAAGCCTGGTGAAGCAGCATGAGGTCACTACAGAAGACGCAGTGTGTTCCTGGAAGGTCAAGTGGCCATTTTGTGGGACCTTGGAAGATCCTCAAAACATATTTCCTCACTCAGCTTTTCCGTTAACATAGGAACGAACACACACACACACACACACACACACACACACACACACACACACACACACACACACACACACACACACACAAATAAAAAATTTGAGAAAGGCGAATTTCATGTGGCTTTGTCCAATCAGAATCCAGCAATATTCAAATCAAAATGTGTCGACGGTTGTGGAGATGAAACAGACTGGCTGTGTTTCTACTGATAAACATTATCTACATCTACATAACTTTTTTATTCTGTAACATAAAGTCTCGGAATATATTCTGATGTGTATTGCATTTTTTGAAGCATGCACTGTAACAGTTAAGTGGTCTGATGCAAAACTGTTTAACACTAAAAAAAAAAAAAAAGGCCTGCATGTTATTGGATGATGCAGCTAATTTCTGACAGTTTTTTGTGTTTGCTTGTTTGTCTTTTCGCCCTAATGCATGCCTTCACCATTTTCTCCCCCAGCCAAAACAATGTCTAAATGTTTGGTGGCAGCTATTCAGTCAACACAAACACTGGCACGGCGACAGTCGTCTGCTTGTTTGTTGCTTCGTTTTATTCAGTTTGCTTGCCAGACTAATCTCACTGGGGTTCCATCACGGGGCTGGTGCTGAGAGTGCATCAAAACTGTGAAAATGGCTACCGTGACATACTCCTGGCATTTTCTCCATTTGGGGATGATAAGTACATTTGATATACTGCGGGCCTGTCCAAAAATCATCATTCTGCAGCTCAACACCATAGCTAGCTGCTGCAGCCCCTGGTTATGGATATCCTGCACCACCCACCTCCCTTCCAATCTACACCTGACTTTCATCTTTGTCTCTCCTCCTCTCTCTCCCTGGCTATTCATCCATCTTCTCAAGTTTCTCTCGATTCTCTCTTCCTCTTCAGCCCACCATCCACCCAGCTATCCTGTGCTCCTTCATCTACACGCCGCTATTCTCTTTCTCTCTGTCTCTCTCTGGTGCAATCAGCCCTCTTTGCTCTTCTTGGCTGAATCAGGCCTCTTCAGCTGCAGCCACGATTCTGGTGTCATTTATCTACATTCCCCTCACTCTCCATTCCCTTTCTCTTCTTTTCTTCTCTACCCATCTGCCTATATGTCAGCTGTTTCTCCCTTTTGTCAACTTATTCCTGTCATCTACTCCATTAAATGCTTCAGTATTCCCTCAGTGGCTGTGTTTCTTTTCTATTCACCCATGTCCCTCTGTTTCTCCTGCTTGCTTTCCCTCTATCCTCCTTCCATTCTCTCTCAGACGTCAGACAAAGCCAGGGAGTAAATTCATCATTTATCAGGTCGCTCTGAAATTTATGGTGTTGGAAGGATGAATTAGACTGGCGGCTTCTACTCTCAGCTTAGTCTGAATTCTGAGAGCGACAGAGATTGTGTCTCAGATAGGGCTAATCATGTTTGGCCCTGGGGAGGCGTGGGGATTTATCTCGCTCCCGAGGAATTGTTTTGTCTGTATTTCAAGACAAAGATTGGCAGAT